AAATGAACAAAGTTCACGAAAACGAGGAAAAGAATTAAAAGAATAACAGACAAGAAAAAGCAGCAAATTACACAATAAAAAAAAAAAATAGTTATAAACGTAAAAAAATACGAGTAAACGCTCTACAAAAATAAAGTACGAAACTAAAAAATGTAACAATTTACAATATGGCTGCCGATAAAAAAACCGGTCAACCCAACAATGAAAACGTTAAATAAGTAAAAAGAGGAGGGACAGAAATTACAAATTAAACACGAAAATTAAAATATTATATAATTAACAGATAAAACGTAGACTTTTAACAGGTATTAAAATAAAAACACAGAAATAATTAACACGTAATAAAAACAAATAGATAAAGGGGAAGAAAAAAAAAAGGTCGGACGTGAAACGAAAAAATAAACAGATAAACTCCGGGGTATGGGCACGGGAAGAGAATAGATTTAAACAATGAAAAAGTAAAACGTAAAATTAATTAGAGAAGAACTAAAAAAAGAAGTAACGTGAAATTAATTAAAAAATAGAGAAGAACTAAGTAAAAAAAAGAAGTAACGGTAAATGAGAGGGAAAGGAAATGAAAAGGAAAAAATCAAATAGTCAAAAATGAGAACGTTAGAAAAGTCGCAAATTGAACAAAAAAGTCGAAAAGTGAAGTTAGAAAAATGTTAGAAATAAATCAAAAACTTAGCTAGATTGGGGCAGTCAAAAAAAAAGTTCAATTGTAAATCCTCCAAAAGACAGAATAAACGGTCAGACTAGACTCGGAGGTCTGACTCTCTCGGGTCTTCATGTAGCCGTAGTATATGTATATACTGGGTGAGTCCATTTGTGTAAAAAGGGGTGGACCCCTCAACAGTATCTCTTAATCCAAGCGACACCTTTTGATAATTTATATAATCAATATTGCAAAGGTATGTGTTGTACACTGGAATATTTTGTTGAATCTAAACCAAGCCTGTTTCTGTCTTGTAATGGAGTTTCAGCGGCTCGTGATTCTCTCATCCGGGGATCATAAAGGGATTTTCTTTTTTGGAACTAGCTGAAAAATTTCACCACTGGGGATTAAAAGAAGTAATATTTCAATCGTTTTCACAATTTTTAACATCTACAAAATTGCGTGTATTTTCTTAAAAAAGTAAACATACATTTCATATCGTAAAATATTGCAGTAATTATTTAAAACAATATAATATTTTATTTTACTTACATTTGCTACTGACAAACCTACAGGTATTTGGCAATAAGAAAAAAGTAAATAAATAAATCCATGTTCTCTTTTTACGACAAATATTTGCGAAAAAGTGACGGGCTTAGAATATTTTTAAACCAAAGTTGTCATTTGAATTACAGCTCCTTCAAAATATTTTCACAGATATAACAATAGAAAGCATACGCCAAAAAAACGAAAAAAACAAGTTTTTGTCTGAAGTAATTCCAGTGGAAAGTAATATCAAGAAGAAAAAAATAGATATTAGACATTTAACTGGTAATTTTGAATGGATTTCTAATTAAAATTAAAAGACGACAATCATTTAAAAGAAGATATTTTAAGCAGTGTATGCAAATTATTCATTCGCTTATTTGTGTTAAAACTTTTTAAAAATAAATTAAAAAGGAAACATTTTTTATATATTCTTTCGGCGGTACGTTTGTGCATAAAATAGTGTTTGATTTTTTTTAATTGATCTACTTATTCAGAAAAGTCGATTTTGATAGAATGTAGTTTTTCAAATTTTCACACTGTAACTTCTGTAAAAAAAACAGATAATTATGGATGCTAGATATATAAACTGATAAGCTTACCGTAGAAAAATAACTTGGTAATTTTTAAAGAAACATTAGTTGTTTTTTCTATAGGAAAAAACGTTCACTATTTATGAAATGTTGAAAGGAGGGTGGACGTTGAATATATATGTTCAAAGAATATGACTTATCTTCAGTTCATCTTTGGTGTTGCATAGAGTTTTGTTAGTCGCTCACTAAACTACACCCCACAAATAATCATGGGTTGATGTCTAAGGAGTTAGGCGGCCAGATGTAAGTGGTGATGTGGTCGTAGAAATTGTCTGACAGCCATGAATGTGTTCTCCTGCTTGTGTGGCATGGTGCAGAGTCCTGTTGTCAGACATAGGTCCTTCAGAAGCCAACCTCTTAACCGAGAACAACACAACCTCAACAAGGCACTTGTGGTAGGCCTCCGTGTTGAGTCTGAGGCCCAGATCAACAAATTGACAATCAGCGGGAGTTTTCCTAGCTACCGTATCTTCATAATTGACATTAGACTCTTCCGACACTTTTGAACCCTCATCTCGGTCCTCCGATTAACACCCAGACACTTCGTAAAGATCGTATAGGAGGTTTTCGTGCAATGTCAAGCAATACAGCTTGCCGTTTCCAAATTTCTGGTGGAGGGAATTGCGACATAGTGCTCTTTTTTCACCGATGGTGTCCAACTGACCCTAAGTATATATCACATTTGAAATCCATAATAGAAAACCGATATGCTAAAACATTGTTTTGGGACACAAATGAAGCAAACAGAGAATGTTTGATTAGAAACGATCAGCTTGTACAGTCAAAGAATCTGCGGGAACAGGACTAAACAAAAATGAGCAGTACTAATTAAGAATAAGACAACTTATCTCCCCTAGGCATGATGAGTGAAAGGATAGCAAGCTATACCCATAGATTTTTCTTTTAAACGACTTCACTCCTTGCAAGACAGTAAAGCCACTAAAACACAAAGGGGATACTGGCTGTAGAAGGATTAGGAACAGAAACATTGCTAACGAGCGAGAATAAAAAAAAGAGTAATGAGGAGAGTAGATATCGAAGAGAGTTCCACAAGTGCGAGAGAAGAAACTGTTTAAATACAGTTACGGCTACATCTAACCCAGTCAGCTGTAAATTGAGGGGACATCATTGCCCGACGAGTACAGCACTTAAATTCAATAAGTCTAGGCGCCATAACCAAGAGCGATAATTATTCTGTTACTTAAAGAAATGTGGCACATGGTCAAAATGGGGAATGGGGAAAAGGACGGTTTTCTTCTGCCTTAAACGTTAAACTTAGCTAACAACTAACACTGAGCCAAACATACAACAGTATTCTTTACACGAAAACAACGCATTCTTAGTGCACCCACCGTAATACCGCAATGTCTCTATATGTACATTCCATTGACTGTGGGAATATCAAATTAAAAATCTAAACCCCAATGAATATTTACAAAAATGAACTAAACTATATAGAAGAAACTAAACAAAATAATGTTAGTAATCCCCCTCCCAATCTATAAATGTGGCAGAAACATCAATTAAATGGGCGAAATCAATGCGGGACTTTAATAATATAAAGTATTCATATCAAACATTCAATCAGACACACACTCATTCAGACACAACGAAAATCACATACGAAACGAAAGGCGCCCTACATCCACCAGCGAACTGACATCACTGACCACCAAACGAGTAAGGGGGTGGGGAATTAAACTGAGGAAAAACAGGTATGAAAAACAGAAATAAAAGGGGCCAATGAGCATAGCGAAGAGCTCATCCCAACAATTGCCACGAATGCAGTTATAGAAAAACGCCCAGAAATGCAACCCGACGACGATGGGTAAATGACTGAAGCCGACACGCCAGACTAAGACCAATAATTTTGCTGATTGACAAGTCGTACAAAAAGCAACTAACCTTCATTAAATATTGCGAACATTGATAGATTTTACGGGGCATTTTTTTGCTTGTGTGCTTAAATAATTAATTGGATAAATTATCAAAAGAACAACGTAGCACATTAAGGATGTTTATATTGAAAATATTTGCAGCCAGGATATTCTGAAAACGAAAATATTATTTATATATATACATATATATATATATATATATATATATATATATATATATATATAGGAGAGAGAGAGAGGAGAGAGATAAGTAACGAAAATCTTGGTAATCCGTATGGATATTCCTAAGGATGATGGAATCCTGAGAGCTCAATATTAATTCAGAGCGAATAATTTTATTTAAACAATATATATATATATATATATTTGGTTGGATATATGTGAGTTTGTGATCCTGTTAGTCAGGGTCACAAACTCACATCTATCCAACCAAATATGTTAGCTCTATCTCTGATACTGAGCGCTTTCTAATAAGTACCATATATATATATCATATATCATATATATTTATTTATATTTATATATTTTTTTATATTTATATATATATATATATATATATATATATATATATATATATATATATATATATATATATATATATATATATATATATATATATATATATATATATATATATATATATATATATATATATATATATATATATATATATATATATATATATATATATATATATATATATATATATATATATATATATATATTAGTCACTAACGGGCAACGAATATAAACAAAATATGTTAAATCACAAAAACTAGGAAGTTCAGTAAATAGCTAAAACGAAAGATAAAAAAAAATGTATTTATTTCAGAAAGAGGAATATTTTTTATCACTTTTCTTCACAAAAATATAAGCAAGTTGCTTAAAGAACTTGGAGGTCCAGCGTGCGATAATTCGAACAGACTTGGAGATTAAAGCACGTTTGAAACAATCATAAAATATATATATATATATATATAACTTTGTTTTATTTATCAATAAAAAAGGGACTAGAGAAGGTCTATTCTATGTTGTATTTCATGACATTGGACTCAAGATAATCCTTTGCAAAATACAAACTTTAATTTAGAACTAGAATAAAAGCGGTGATATAAAAAAAAGCAAGATGTGGATTTTGTAAATATGAAACACTGAAAATCTTTCAGTGTAAGGATCATTGATAACAAATTTTGGATAAGTAATTAGGAAATTGAGCAGAGTATATTTAATTTCTATTTCTTTTTTATTGGCATATTTTCCGATTTCTTTCCTTTTTTTTATTTTTATCATTCTTTTTAATCGCATAAGCCTTTCTTTTTGTGTCTTTTTCTTTCTTTTTAGGATCTTTCTTTCTTTTTATGTCTTTTTCTTTCTTTTTAATTTTTTCTTTCTTTTTGTCTTTTTCTTTCTTTTTATGCCCTTTTCTTTCTTTTTTAGGTCCTTTTTTTTCTTTTTATCTATTTTATTTCTTTTTCTTTCTTTTTTATCTCTTTTTTTTTAATTTTCTGTTTTTTCTTTCTTATTTTCTTTTACTTTCTTTTTACGCTTTTTTCTTCCTTTTCATGCCCTTTCTTTCTTTTATGTTATACTTTTTTATCTCTTTTCTCTAATTTTATGTGTTTTTCTTTCTTTTTTAGGTTTTTTTATTTCTTTTTTTCTTTTTACATATTTTCTTTCCTTTTCTTTCTTTTATCTCTTTTTCTTTAATTTTCTGTTTTCTTATTTTCTTTTGTTATGCTTTTTCTTCCTTTTTATGTCTTTTTCTTTCATTTTATATTTTTCTTTTTTATTCTCTTTTTCTTTCTTTTTATCTCTTTTCTCTAATGGTATGTGTTTTTCTTTCTTTTTATGCACTTTTCTTTCTTTTTTGGCTATTTTTTATTTCTTTTTATGTTAAGTCCTTTCGTTATTTTTGTTCCTTTTTATCTATTTTCTTTCTTTTTATGTCTATTTTCTTTCTTTTTATGTCATTCTTACTTTTTGTCTTTGCTAGGGGTGGTTTTGACCAACACCAAAAGCTGCAACAAAACTAAGATATAATGTGAAAAATAGATTCATGTTCTTAAAGATTCTCCACAAACCGAGACTTTAAGAGGGATGTCATACACAGCACCCAAATCGTCCAGAACTATCTGAACTGTCAGATGTATAAAATAGCTTTCTGAGATCGATGTTAAAAAATGAATTTGTGTGGAGTTATCAGCGAGGAAAACCCTTCTTTGTAAAACTTGGACTGGCCTTGAAGAAACAACTTATTTGGGAACTTTCAACAACAGCAAAGACTGTAAACACATATCGCATGTTACTCTAAGAGAGAAGCTTTTATATATTTATATATATATATATATATATATATATATATATATATATATATATATATATATATATATATATATATATATATATATTTAAAAAAAACAGACAGTTTTAAGGTTCAATTATAATAATTTATTTCACCAGAGACCTTTTAAAGGACTCTGGATCATCAGATAGCACTTCCCAGAGATGAAACGAAATGAAATGAAATGAAAATTAATACTTTTGATGGGTAGTGAGAGTTTTTGTAATTTAACAGAGGGGTAATGAGGGGTGGTTTGAGAGACATGTTCGAGTTTAGAGAGGGTTTATTTAATATTTCTTTCAATCATACTTAGTATTGGGGGAAGGTCAAGGTCTACTCCCTCTTCCCCCAATACTAAGTGCCATTCTAACTTGGTGATGTTGACGCGTATTAACATCGCTATCAAAGAGGGTTCGTATATATAATACGCCACATATATCTTCAAGAATGCTTTGTTCACACTTAGAAATTCATTTTAAACTTTAAAAATTATCATTCACAAAAAGAGAAGGGGAAAAATAAAAAAAAATATGTGTTTTTAAATTACAAAAGTGTACTTGTATTAAACGAAAAATATAATACATATTACTTATTAGACATTCCTTCCTGCCGTCAAGTTTAAGTAAAATTGAAGTAAATAAATAATCAACATTCTGACGTTTTCCACTGCCACGAAACAAAGGCAAGGAAAGAAAGCCCATGAATACGGGAGAGAAAAATAACTTCTACTCGTTTAGAGAAACCTGTTTTTCTAGAAAATACTTTTAATAGAAAGGCTTTAGAAATTGCAGCACTAACAATCAGTTAAAGACTGTAGAATGTTTCCATATGAAGAAACGGCTAATATTACCATTAAATTTTCCATTTCATTGGAGCAAGGTTTTAGTGTCGAATCGCTACACGATTTGAACAGACGCGACAAAAACGCCAGACCTTTCAGTCCGCTTATGATTTTGAAAACGTCACTTAAGAAAATTGAAAATTAAATGGTTTCTATTTATTTACTTTTCAATGGGATATAGAAAAAGCCAAAAACTGGTTATTGGGACAGACATTCTTCATATGGAGAGGAAGTGAATTCAGTAAATACAAGAACATAGAAAGATGCGACAGTCAAAGACATGCCTTCTCACCAAGCCTATTCAACCTTTACAACAAACCGATACTGAGAAAACAGGAAGCTTTACCACGATTTATTCTTGGCGGACACAATCTTAACAACATAATGTATACTGGTAACACAGCATAGAAGATAAAAGACCCAGACAAGAAACTGCTGAGTTACTAGAAAATATAGTAAAAGGAAAGAGGGAAGAAAAGACTAAACATAAATTGCAGTAAATATGGTATAAGGTTGTCAGCAAAAGGAAAATTATAACTGCTGTATGAAGATACCAGATTCAAAAAGATTCGCGTCCTGGGTAAGACGATAAATTTACGTTGAACAAGGTCTCTGGTCAGGAGGTTTTGAGGAGCCAATAGCGACCTCTTAATTTCTGGTGTTCACAGATCCACCCTGACCCGGGTGGTAGCACCTGTTAGGATCACAACTATGTGCAAATAGTTAACACCTAAACGGGTATCAAAACACCATAAAATTGTAAAAATAGGTTTTAATACCAGCAATATATTTTGATGGAAAAATTATTAACAGTAATACATTTTTAACCAAATTATTAACAACAATACATATTCATGGAAAATTATTGCCAGCAATGCATTTGTAAACAAAAATATTACAAGCAATACATTTTGGAAGGAAAAAGTATTACCAGCAATACATTTTAGAAGAAAAAATATTAACAGTAGTACAAGTTTTAGGAAAAAAAAATATTACTAGAAATACATTTTTGAAGAAAAAATATTACCAACTATTCACTTAAAAATAGAATACCAGCAATAAATATCTTGTCGGCATTAAATAACCCATTAAGTTTGATATACCGTAAAAAAAAACAAACCAAAAGGGTTCGAAAATGTAAATATTTGGGAGGTATTTTAAAAGATCACGGGATATATGACACTGAAAACCAAGGCTGCATTGGAATAAAGAAAACACCTTTCAAAATATGAGCATAGTATTTGGAAGGTATTTTAAAAGATCACGGGATATATGACACTGAAAACCGAGGGAGCATTGGAATAAGAAAAATACCTTTCAAAATATAAACATCGTATTTCGAAGGTATTTAAAAGATGACGGGATATATGACACTGAAAACCGAAGGAGCATTGGAATAAAGAAAAAAACCTTTCAAAATATAAGCATAGTATTTGGGAGGTATTTTAAAAGATGACGGGATGTATGACACTGAAAACCGAGGGAGCATTGGAAATATAAAATATAAGCATGGTATTTGGGAGGTATTTTAAAAGATGACCGGATGTATGACAGTGAAAACTGAGAGAGCATTGGAATAACGAAAAACCTTTCAAAATATAAGCATAATATGTGGGAGGTATTTTAAAAGATCACGGGATGTATGACACTGAAATCCGAGGGAGCATTGGAATAACGAAAATACCTTTCAAAAGATAAGCATAGTATTTGGGAGGTATTTTAAAAGATCACGAAATATATGACACTCAAAACCGAGGGAGCATTGGAATAACGAAAATACCTTTCAAAATATAAGCATAGTATTTGGGAGGTATTTAAAAGATCACGGGATGTATGACACTGAAATCCGAGGGAGCATTGGAATGACTAAAATACCTTTCAAAATATAAGCATAGTATTTGGAAGGTATTTTAAAAGATGACGGGATGTATGACACTGAAAACCGAAGGAGCATTGGAATAACGAAAATACCTTTCAAGATATAAGCATAGTATTTGGGAGGTATTTTAAAAGATCACGGGATGTATGAGACTGAAATCCGAGGGAGCAGTGTAATAACGGAAATGCCTTTCAAAATATAAGCATAGTATTTGGGAGGTATTTTAAAGATCACGGGATGTATGACACTGAAATCCGAGGGAGCATTGGAATAACGAAAATACCTTTCAAAATATAAGCATAGTATTTGGGAGGTATTTTAAAAGATCACGGGATGTATGACACTGAAATCCGAGGGAGCATTGTAATAACGAAAATACCTTTCAAAAGATAACCATAGTATTTGGGAGGTATTTTAAAAGATGAAGGTATGAATGCCACGGAAAACAGAGGGAGCATTGAAATAACGAAAATAACTTTCAAAATATAAACGTAATATTTGGGAGGTATTTTAAAAGATGACGGGATGTATGCCACTGAAAACCGAGGGAGCAGTGAAATAACGAAAATACCTTTCAAAAGATAACCATAGTATTTGGGAGGTATTTTAAAAGATCACGGGATGTATGACACTGAAATCCGAGGGAGCATTGGAATAACGAAAATACCTTTCAAAAGATAAGCATAGTATTTGGGAGGTATTTTAAAAGATCACGGGATATATGACACTCAAAACCGAGGGAGCATTGGAATAACGAAAATACCTTTCAAAATATGAGCATAGTATTTGGGAGGTATTTAAAAGATCACAGGATGTATGACACTGAAATCCGAGGGAGCATTGGAATGACTAAAATACCTTTCAAAATATAAGCATAGTATTTGGAAGGTATTTTAAAAGATGACGGGATGTATGACACTGAAAACCGAAGGAGCATTGGAATAACGAAAATACCTTTCAAGATATAAGCATAGTATTTGGGAGGTATTTTAAAAGATCAAGGGATGTATGACACTGAAATCCGAGGGAGCATTGTAATAACGGAAATACCTTTCAAAATATAAGCATAGTATTTGGGAGGTATTTTAAAGATGACGGGATGTATGACACTGAAATCCGAGGGAGCCATTGGAATAACGAAAATACCTTTCAAAATATAAGCATAGTATTTGGGAGGTATTTTAAAAGATCACGGGATGTATGACACTGAAATCCGAGGGAGCATTGTAATAACGAAAATACCTTTCAAAAGATAACCATAGTATTTGGGAGGTATTTTAAAAGATCACGGGATATATGAAACTCAAAACCGAAGGTGCATTGGAATAACGAAAATACCTTTCAAAATATAAGCATAGTATTTGGGAGGTATTTAAAGAGATCACGGGATGTATGACACTGAAATCCGAGCGAGCATTGGAATGACGAAAATACCTTTCAAAATATAAGCATAGTATTTGGGAGGTATTTTAAAAGATGACGGGATGTATGACACTGAAATCTGAAGGAGCATTGGAATAACGAAAATACCTTTCAAAATATAAGGGGAGGTATTTTAAAAGATCAGGGTGTATGACACTGAAATCCGAGGGAGCATTGAATAACGAAAATACCTTTCAAAATATAAGCATAGTATTTGGGAGGTATTTTAAAAGATCATTGGATGTATGACACTGAAATCGAGGGAGCATTGGAATAACAAAAAAGTCACAAAATATAAGCATAGTATTTGGGAGGTATTTTAAAAGATCACGGGATGTATGACACTGAAATCGAGGGAGCATTGTAAGAACGAAAATACCTTTCAAAAGATAACCATAATATTTGGGAGGTATTTTAAAAGATCACGGGATATATGAAACTCAAAACCGAAGGAGCATTGGAATAACGAAAATACCTTTCAAAATATAAGCATAGTATTTGGGAGGTATT